GCTCCCTCAGACACAGAGTACAGACTGCAGTCGGAACATAGTTTTGAGACTACTCACAACAGTGTCGCTGCCCAAGATGAAATTGGCAAAAAACAGGCAACTGTCCCTCATATGAATAGAAATTCTAAGGTCGTTATGGCACTTCCAGTATTTTAATTATGATTTATAATATTATTGAAATTACTAGAGAAACACCACTCTCACAGAAAATCTCCTTTCCTTCCCCCGGTTCTCGGGGAAAAAACCCACAAATATGTGCTCGTTAGGCGACTCTCCCAAACGTACAGTATAATTATAGTATATCTTAAGGCGTCTCCAACTTCAACAAAAAACAAAACAACTAATGCTTTTCCAAGATAAAACCAACTACAGATAATCAACTATCTTTTCTTACTTTAAGAATTATTATTATTATTATTATTATTATTATTATTATTATTATTATGATCGTTATTATGTCAAAAATACTCTGGTTTCACCACCAACTTCCCAGAGGCACAACTTATAAGTTCTACAACACACCGGCACAACTTCCAAATTTTTCTGCAGTTACAACTTTTTGACCAGATTAAAAAATACAAACCAATTCTTCCAGAGACTTCAACTCTGTATTTACTTCCAGACTTCAACTGGCAACCCCAGAGACTTCAACTCTGTATTTACTTCCAGACTTCAACTGGCAACACCAGAGACTTCAACTCTGTATTTACTTCCAGACTTCAACTGGCAACACCAGAGACTTCAACTCTGTATTTATTTCCAGACTTCAACAGGCAAAAAAATCTAGGGAACTTCAATCCCTGGCCTGTTCGAAGGTCCCTATCCCCTTCAGACACACGTTTCCTAGCAGCGGACCGTCTCGTCAGACGGATCCCAGGCTGCCAACCCGGGATACCTTACACAGACTTTAACTATGTTACCAAATGTTACTATCCTGATGCATGCTCAAATGTTACTACCTTACTCAGACTTCAACTGAGTAGGTGACAGACTTCAACTGTTCTTAACACAATTCTATGCACACATCTTATAAATTTAGGGGTCTGACAGCGTGCCTCAACCCTCTAAAAGCTAGGTGCAGATTTTAATTAAAAAGGCTCTGCTTACCTGTTAGATTCATGGCCATGTTTGGGGTTGGAGCACAGCGCTGGACCTGGTCCAATTCTGGAAAGACCCAGCTGCCCTCGCAATCCCGGACAAGCCCCCAAGCTGTTAAGAACGAGTGCCGGTTCATTCTTCCCGGATTGGTTTCGATCGGAGGGAAAGGCCAGGCTTCCTTCAGGTTTAACAACATTTATTTTCTTAAACAAATGGATGCACAGAATACAAGCAGATCTGGAGAAGCAGACCCAGTATGACAGGAGCCAGTTCTGAAAAACAAAGAAGAAAGTGCCTCCTTATAACACCTGTGGGCCTCCCCCCAGGAGATATTTTGACCTTCTGCACAGGAAGACCACAATTCACCTCTTCAGGCAGGCAGAGGCGTTTCTATGACTTAATGTACAATGTTATCTCTTGGTGCCTCCAAATGGTGAGTTTTCTGAGGCCCTACAACATACCTAAGGTTATCTTCAAATGAGGCTAAACCTCCCTTCCTGCTGGTGCAATTAACAGATGTTCCTGGTTCACAGCTGCATACACTAAAACATATTAACTTGACTAAACTAAACCCTAATAATAAATTAATAGTTTAAAACCTTCACAATATCCCACAACCTGAAGGCAGACTTTTACTTCTTTGATTCCATCCATCCATTTTATAAGACTGTTTATTGCAGCTCCTCAAACTGACGTATTTTGGATAAAAGATGGAAACGTTTCAACATAAAAAAAAAATAAATAAAAAAAAATCCGTCCAGTGGACCTGACTTAACTTTAAGATTTTGTTTTTACCTGGATTATTGAGCAGGGATCAGGATATTTATTATTTAGATTTACAAACTGGAATCTATCAAATAAATATGATTTAAACCATTTAGAGCCATTCCTGTAATCTCAGTATCATATTCAAGCCTGGGCAGCACGGTAGCTCAATTGGTAGAGCTGCTGTCTCAGTGAGCTGGTCACCCTGGTTCAAATCCCAGTCCAGGGGACTTTCTGGGTGTTCTCTCAGTGCTGCGTGGGTTTCCTCCCACAGATCAGGAACACATATTAGGCTGATTGGTAACTCTAAATTGTCCCTAGCTGTGAGTGAGAGAGTGAATGGTTGTTTGTCTCGTTTGTCTCCATGTGTTCCTGTGATGGACCGGAGACCTGTCCAGTGTCCCCGCCTCTCACACAGTGACCCACGCAACTCAAAAAGGAACAAACAAGTAAAAAGTAACTGGATGGATGAATATTCAAGCCTCTGTAGTAAAATATTGTGATCAACTGTTTCAAATGTAGCACTGAGATCTAACAGGACCAGTGTAGACACAAGTCCATTGTCTGAGGCCATGAGAATATCATTAGTGACTTTTACTAGTGCCGTTTCTGTGCTATGATGAGCTCTAAACCCTGACTATAACTCTTCAAACAGATTATTTCTTTGTACATGTTCACACAACTGACCTGCAACTATTTTCTCTAGAATTTTTGAAAGTTAGATTAGAAATAGGTCTATAGTTGGCCAGAATTTCTGAATCAAGTTCAGACTTCTTAAGTAAAGGTTTAATTACAGCAACCTTAAAGCGTTGTGGTACATAACCATTCATTAAAGACAAATTAAGTAGATCCAAAATGTGGACATTAATTAGGGGAAATACCTCTTTAAACAGTCTGGTTGGGATGGGATCTAGCAGACATGTGGATGGTTTGGATAAGGTGATTATTTTTGACAATTCAGAGGTGGTTCAGGCATCTGGTAAGGATGCTCCCTGCACACCTCTCTAGGAAGCCCAACATTTTTCAGCCAGGCCATCTGGACTGTTTCTTTTTTTGTGCTGAAACGCTTCGCCTTCGATCCGGAAGGCTTCATCAGTCAAGGAAACACAAAACAAAACTGATTCTTCCCCCAACAGCTTACTCCAAAGTGGAACAAACCAGTTCTGCTTGTGATAAGATGGTCTCTTTGGTAGGCAGCATGGTGGCACAACTGGTAGAGCTGCTGCTTCTCAGCAAGCAGGTCCTTGGTTCAAACCCCGGTCCAGGGGCCTTTCTGGGTGGAGTTGCATGTTCTCTTCGTGCATGCGTGGGTTTTCTCTGGGTGCTCCGGTTTCCTCCCACAGACTAAAAACATGCATGTTAGACTGATTGGTAACTCAAAAAAAAAATAATTTGTCCCTAGGTGTGAGTAAGTGAATTGTTGTTTGTCTCGTTTGTCTCTATGTGGCCCTGTGATGGACTTGCGACCCGTCCAGGGTGTACCCCGCCCCTCGCACAGTGATTGCCGGACATGGGCACCGGCGACCCACGTGACCCAAAATGGAAGAAGCGGGTAAAGATAATGGATGGATGGGTCTCTTTGGTACACCCCTCCTCCATTGCTGGCCATCTTCCTTGTTGACAGTCTTGTCAAACTGGTTGAAAACAACAAAGTCCAAGCTCAATAATCCAGGTATAAAATCCAACATTTTTCAGTCAGGTCATCTGGACGGTTTCTTTTTTTGTGCTGAAATGTTTCGCCTTGGATCCGGAAGATGGTCTCTTTGGTAAGTACCAAAGAGACCATCTTATCACAAGCAGAACTGGTTTGTTCCACTTTGGAGTAAGCTGTTGGGGGAAGAATCAGTTTTGTTGTGTGTTTCCTTGACTGATTAAGCCTTCCGGATCGAAGGCGAAACGTTTCAGCACAAAAAAAGAAACTGTCCAGATGACCCGACTGAAAAATGTTGGATTTTATACCTGGATTATTGAACTTGGACTTTGTTGCTCTCTAGGAAGGTTTTTCAGGCAACTGGGAGGAGACCCTGAGGAAGACCCAGGACAACTGAGACCATCTCTCTGCTGCCTGGGAACTCACTTGAATCATTCCGGAGGAGCTGGAAGAGGTGGCTGTGGGGAGAGATGTTTGGACCTCCCTGCTCAAACTGCTGCCCCCGAGACCTGAGTCCAGAACAATGAAGTGATTGATTGCATCAATTGGATGGATTGATTCTGTGTCATGGAAACATTTAATTCATCCACTGAATATCTTAACAAAAATGTTTCAAAATAGTCCAGTACAACAAACAGAGATGTTTTATTCTGGATAATTTATTAAAAACAAATTACAAAATTCCCTGTAGAAACCTACAGCTAACATATTGTTCAGGCACCCTGCTTAATACTCCTCAGAGGTCAAAGGTCATCTGTGGTTGTTGTTCCAAGCGGCAGCTTTACGACTGTCGAGCAGCAGAAGAAACAAAGAGACCTCTTGTTTTTGCTCACAGAGCGTTTGATGTCAGCAGAGTGCCCTGATTGGATAAACAAGGATAAAAGACATGTGGACATTACAGAATGAGCAGAAAAGTTTTCAGGATCTGCAAGAAAAATCAAATTTTCTGTCAAGTTTGTCTCTGAAGTTTGTTCAGGAACTTTTTAAAAACAAAAAATAAAACTGAGCTTCAAAAACAACAAAAACCAAAAGTAAGATTTGTTCTTTCAGCTCAAAGTTTAAAAATCACACAAAGTGTCCTTTAGACCAAACTGAAACTGAAGTTTGGATTCAACCACATGAAGCAGATCTGCTCCACGAGGGACACGAGAAGAATCAAAACCTTTAAAGTGCAACGTTACAAAAACTGATGAAAAGGAAAAATACTGATTTGGATTCTCAGAAGGAGAAGAAACATTTTCAGACTCAAGCAGAAGGGTCTTCAGAGTCCAACATCTTATGGTCCCACCCCGACGTCCCACTGTCTCATCAGAGACCCATCAGGTCAAAAAATCATCAACACAGAAGATGAAACTGTTCATCTTAAAGTTCCCATCAGGCTCCTCCCATCACCTGCCGGAGGGCGGAGCTTAAATCCAGGGAAGGCCTGTGAGCAGAGAACCTCAGGGTGCTGTCCAACATCCTGGATGTCCAGCTGTCTCATCAGGTTTCATCAGGCTGTGAGCTTCAGTCGTCCTGCAGAGAGAAACATCTTCAATCACTTCGTCCCTCATGTTCACGCCTGAGAAACATCAGAAGGGTTTTTATGGCATTTACTGACATCACAACGATTGTATTCCGCAGCAACACGAGCTGCAGCCCGTCTGTCATAACAGCCTTCGCTGGGCCACCTCTGAAGTAGGAAAAACAGGTTCGGATCCAAAACTGAAATCATGTTGTCTAAACCTGCAGTGTCTCTGTGGACCAGCAGGGGGTACCTGTTCCTCTGTTACATGCTTTATTAAAAAAAAAAAAAAAAAAAAAAATACATATATATATATATATATATATATATATATATATATATATATATATATAATATTACT